AGCTGCTGCCTTGGGCTCAGGGCAGTGTGGGCACACTGTTGCTACCGTCTGTTTTCTGGGGTCTGCTCTGGTGGCGTAGGTCCCCCTGTGGTGGCTGCCTGCCCTCTTGGCCCTCATGCCACCCCCAGCCTCTGCCTTGCTGGAGCTCTCTGACTGCCTACTTTTAACACACTTTTCAGGGTCTGTGATTTTAGTGATCATTTGTCCTGTATTTTCTTTGAGAAGACCAATTTTTACTTCTTCAATAAAGGTGGTTTTAAAATCCATCTTCTCACTTAAGATTTTTTTTTTCATGTAAATAAATTCATGTATCAGGAAACAGTCGTTTGGCAGCTTGTCCTGGCTTCTGCCTCCTTCCACACTGTAGTGGTGTTCTCTGAACTGCTCACCTGCCTTCAGACCTGATCTTGACCTTGTTGAATTTTCCTCCTTGGGGAGGCCTTCCTTGAATGTTCACTCTAAAATAGGCTCTCCATCACGTCTGGTATATCGCCATCCATCCTATCCTCTATGTGAACGTAGTTGGTCCATTTCTTATTTATTTTTGATGGCGCCCCATTGTGAATTTAAGGTAGAAACTTTGCTTGTCCCACTCACTGTTTAACCCCCAGCACCTAGAACAATGCCAGCGCTCAGCGGGTGTTCACAAGCTTTTTGTTTAATTTACCCTGACTTCCACCCCTGGCATCTTGTTCTGGCCTGTCGATCTTAGCCCGAAACCAGACCCGGGACTCTTACTGGAAATGTTCTAAGTCAATGACTGATGAATTTGAGTTTTCCCATCTGCACAGGGTCACTACAAGGTGAGATGCACTGTCCATATCTCCCCATCCCAGTGGCAGATGAACCCATAAGGGCCTGGACCATTTCTCTCTTTCACTGAAAGGATGGATAGTCCTCCCAGATAGCTTTGGGGGCCAGAAGACTTGGAAAACGGTGCTGCCACCCCACATCTGGCACAGAGAGCAGTGGGGCCATCCTGGCCTGAGGCCCTTTCTCAGGCCTGGGCTGAGCTTGTTCCCCTTGTTCCCCAGGGTTCTCTCAAGGGGCCAATTCTCAGCTTCCTGGGTCAGAGAATTCCCAGGATGGGACAGGTCATAGCTGGCCTCTGGCTGCTTCTGGAATTTCCCATTTCCTGGAAAGATGGTGAGGTTTTTCACATTAGTGGGGGACAATGGAGCCCAGCCCAGGGAAGGATCACCAGGAGTGGATCACCAGGAGTGCTGGGTGCCCTCTTTGTTGGTGTCTAGGAACAGCTGTCTTGACCAGCTGTGCTCCTCCCAGGAGGCCCCAGCGCTGCTGGAAGCACAGCTGATTGTGAACATTCACCCAAGCCTTCATTTCCAGGGCTTTCCTTCCTGCCTTCCTGCCCACCACCAGCTCCCAGGAGGGGCCCTGGTATGCTGCATGGCTCTCTGTGGCTCTGTGCATGGTCCCCAGCAGTGTCTCCAGGCTCTTCCCTGAGCCTGTTGCCCCTCTCTTTCAGGAAGAGTATAGCCAGGGCCTGTCCCACCAGACCTTGCCATTAGAAGACAGGCTTTAGGAGCTGTTGTCTGGTGAAAACCACCTGAAACTCATGGTCACACATGGGCAGTAGGATGGCCTCCCTGGCCCCCAACACACCTTTGCTCCCCACTCTAGAGAGCATGTACAGAGGTGGTCCCCATCTCCTGGTCCTCACTCCCTGGATGCATGCTGGCTGTAGTCTCCATTGTAACCTGCTCTCTCAACCAGCTAAAAGCTCTATCTATGTGTGTGTGTGGCCAGGCCTGTGAGCACATAGACAATTTCCTGGCCCTGCTATACCTCTCCCACCCCCAGGGCCTGCCCATCAGGTGGCCTCTCTTCCCACACCTGTGCCTCCTTTGCCTGGTCAAGGAGACCAGCCTGCATGGCCAGCTGCCCCAGGTCCTGCTGTGACAGCCTAGAGGGCTGAGGTACCAGTGTGTCCCTCTGCCTCAGTCTTCCAACCAGAGGCTCTGAGTTAATGGGGGCCCACCCTCTGGGAGAACAAAAGACATTGAATTGACACAGTTTGCTCAAGTGACATATTTCAATATAATCTCTAAAACTCTATGAATTGAACAGATAAAATACCTCTGGGCTATTTTGTTACAAAATATTTGCCATTTGGATTAGTTGCTGGGTGCAGCCACCCTGCCTTTCCCTGGAGACCTTTCTCTCCAAGGGGGTTAAGGAGTGTGTGGGGAGAGGGTGCGGCAGGAAGGGGTGAACAGCAGCACATAGGGATGGATGGACCGACAGCTGCCAGGGAAGCCTGGTGGCACAGAGACATCTGGTAGGCCATGGGAGAACAGCTGGGCTAGAGGCAGGGGCCCAGGGCCAACAAACGTGTGTGGGATCAAGGTGCCTCTGGAGACAGACAGGCAGGTGGGCTTCCAGGGCAGGCTGCCGGGCAGGGCCCTGCTTCAAGTTTGGGAAGCTAGCTTCATCTCTCACTCCTGATTCTGGAGTTGGAGCCAAATGGACAAAATTGAGAGAGGGGCGCAGGTCCCCAGAGGCAGGCCTGGAGAGTTGATGGCATTGGCCATCTTGGGGTGGCTGAGTGAGGGGGGTCTCAGTCAGCACTTCACTGTCCTCTTGGCCTTGGGAGAGCAGGAGGGCCCAGAGCATCCCCTGTAGCCCTCTGGGAGGAAGCAGGAGGCTCTCTCCAGGGGTTTTGAGGGCCAGGCTCTTGCCTTAGCCTGTGGGCTGATTGTGGGAGGAGGGTGCCAAGGCTGGGAACGTGCTTACTGGCTTCCCCTTACAGGGAAGGGGGCCAGTTATATCCTGGTCCCACTGTCAGGGGGTAAAAGCCCCTTCCAGATCACCCAGGCTGGTCTGCTTCTTGCACAGGACTCCCTGTACTGCCACCCCAACTAGGGGTGGGGGTGAGCCTCTGCCATAGGGAAGGGACACTGAGAGGCCTGAGAACTAGGTGACAGCCTTATGACCTCTGTTTGTCCCCATCTGGAAATCTGGGGCTTTGGCAAGGGTGGGAGGGCAAGCCCAGGGTTGTGAGCAGATGACAAGGGTCCTGCCTGGTGGGACAGAGTTACCTGAGACTATGCCCCTCCGTCACAGCCTCAGGCTCCCCTTGCCCCCACCCCATAAATATATTTAGCCACATTCATAGCTCATGTTCTTCCCACCTCATCATACTCCTGTCCCCTATTTATAACCTTCTGTTTCTAGTCCCCCTCATTCAAGATTCACCCCTCCCATCCCCACAGCTCCACGTCCTCCCAAGTCCCTGGTGCCCCCTGCTCAGGACTTCACTCTCAGGCCCACCCTTGCCCTGGTGGAGGGCACCAGAGATTTCTGAATCTGTGCACTCTGTCTGTTGGCCACTCCACTCCGAAAGGCTCTGACTGGTGCATCCCTGTTACAGAGAAGACAGAGGAGACCAGGGCAACAAGGACAGGCAGAGCAGAGGGTGGGGAGCCCTCAGGGGAGACAGAAGCTGGCTGACAAAGATGGCCAGAAATAGACCTGCTGGGTGACATCACAGTGACGTCTGGGTGACCACACACACACACACACACACACACACACACAGAGGAAACTGGGGCATCAGCAGCCTCCGGAAGCAGGAATGATCCATACCTCCTGCCTGGCCCGGGCTCCTGGAGGCTGGGCGTGCAGAGACTCACGTCCACTATAGGCCAGTATTCCCTGTCCCTTAGGAGGGTCTAACAATAGACTCCAGTGGCCGGGGGGGGGGGGTGTCTGAACAGAGGACAGCAATGAGTTTTTGGCAGAGGACTGGAATCTGGTCTGGCTAGGACAGAAAGGACCTGACTAGGCAGTCCAGGGTACTGTGCCTGTGGTCCCCGAGGGCGGTTGACTCTCTTCTGGGCTGCAGAAGGGCCCTTCACCAGGCCTGGGGTCTGTGGGGCCACATAAGTCTGGCCATCACAGCCTACTTGGCCCTGGGAGGTCAGCAAGCCCTGCCTTTGCAATTTTGAGGGGCCAGGGACTCTTTTAGTCACCCTGCTGAAGAGAGTCTGGCACCTCCCAGGAGGGGGAAACATTTAAGGGCTCAGGAGTGCAGGGGAAATGCAAGAGCTTCTGGAGCCCGGGTTTTTCTCACTCCACTCTGCATCCAAGTCTCTCCTGCAGGTCACAGATGTCTTGCAAGAGGGAGCTCTGACTCCAGAAACCCATCTCTACTGGGCAAATCACTGCCCCATCTCTTGTCTCTGCTTCCATAATGAAGAAATTAACCTGGTTCTATGCATTTATGTGCACTCTCTCAGTGCACTTGGCATTGGCTGGGTGTGATTTGGGGCTAGGGAACTAAGAAAATCTTTAAAAGGGACATTTTGTAGGTGTAAGACCTCATTATTCCTCAGCCCCATTGACTTGGCCCAGAGAGCTAAGCGTGCTTCCTTTCCTCCTCCCTTTCTCAAAGCCTTCCTAGAGTCTGGGCAGCTCCTGAGAAAGCAGAAGGCCCTGGGAGGAGGGGGAAGGACATGGTCAGTGGTCAGGACAGCCCACGACCTGGGGACTAGGGAGCAGTCTCCTGACACTGCTGGGCAGGAGAGAGAGCCCCCTCCCCTTACCCTCCCCCACGGGCCCCCAGCCAGCCAGCAACAACCCTCATCCTCTCAGCGCTGCAGATGTACTGCCTGGGCTGTGAGCTGCTACCTCTTGCTCCTGCCCTGTCTTGAGGCCTCTAGGCCCTAACGGGCATAAAGCCACAAGTTCAGCGCTGCCTCTTTTCAGTCTGTGGCCAATGGGGAGAGTGGTGGCCAGGGGAAGATGAGGCTCCACCGGGGCTGGCTGTGCAGGACCTTAAGAGAGTGAGGTGGTGTCTCCAGATCAGGCAGGGGACGCTCAACTGAGTTAGGGGGTACAGTGGGACAAGGCAAACCCATGTGCCAGGGAGTGGGGTTCTCTTTCCAAAATGGTGGCAATTGGTGACCAGGAAGGCATCGTGCCAGGGTGTGGGAGCAGCAGGGGGCAGCCAGGTGCCCCGACAGCATGGTGGGGGCAGTCTACACCAGGCTCCTGGAGCCACTGGAATAGCGGCGCCTGTGCAGCAGGGAGCCTGGGGGGCAGAACTGGTGAGGGTGATTGTAGGGGGGTGGGGGTGGGGGCAGCGGAGGCTGGTGGACAACCTTGACTGGGGAGCCTGGGCCACCCTGGGGTGTGGAGCCACAGGAGTCAGAGGAGGATGAGGCATAGCAGGAGAGAGCCTGGCTCAGCAGGGGTTCCATGCGGGCCAGGCAGGGCTTGTCCAGGACAATGACCTTGACAATTTGCTGGCACTGCACCAGGGTGCCCGGGGGTGTGGGTGGCGGCGGCGGCAGCGATGGGGGCTGCTCTCTCAAGGGGCTAGGCTGCAGGTCTGGCAACGGCGCTGGCACTCCCCTCTCGGCCCCCAGCCCGGGGTTGTGCTGGGACGTTTGAAGCCTGTTGTGAATTGACACCTAGTTTAGAAACAGCCAGAGAAGCATGAAATGTTACAAGACTAATTCCCAGCTGCCAGGAGGGCTACCCTGAGCCTCCCTTGGCCTCCCTCCTGCTCTCTGCCCTCACTCAGACTCTCTGCCCATCTCTCCACTGAGAGGAAATTGGGATCTGACCCTGGCTCTTCCCCAGAAGGGAATGTGGAGCCAAAACACTGCCATGTTCTGTCACTGACCATGAGCAGTGTGGTTCCAGGCCTCAGGCTCCCGGTCTGTGAGGTGGGCTCTGCATAGCTCTGCAGCCTGACTTCACAGACCTGTTGGATGGCTCCGGGCTGTTAGACTCTCCCCACCTCCTTCTTCACCAACCTCTGAACTTGAAACTCAGGGCCAGCGGTTTTGTCTCCTCCCTGTCTCCCTGGAGGGTGTTGCACAAAGGAGGACATGACAGGGCCAAGCATGTGAGGCCCTCGCAGCCCCTCACTTCCCTCTGACTTTGTTAAAGAAGAGCCTCATCATCATTATTGACATCATGAAGGTGCCCAAACTCCAGAATGCCAAGGACCCTGAAGGGGTGACCTGCATCTCCCCCATCCCCCTAGACTCCCCGAGGGCAGGGGCAGGGCCCCAGTCCTAGGTTAAATTTTCCCAGGTGCTGGAAGAGATACCAAGAAAGGGCCCTAATCTCTACCCGCTGGGCAGGGCAGGAGAAGATGGCCCAGACAGCACTCGAGAGCCTCCTCCCTCAGACCACAGAGGTCACTACACCAGCCTGCAGGTGGAGGTGGAGGAAACAGGCAGGAGGCTGGAGGATTCTGGAAGGAGAGGGATTTAATTCCTCTCCCTGGTCCACCCCAAATTCCCCAGTCTGTACAAAGGCCAGACCACAACCTCCTCCAAACACCCAGGCCCTTTGAGGTGGCTGGGACTCTGCTCCTCCCTGAGGATACTTCCTATTGGGTTACCATCAGTCCTTGGGCACCTCCACCTATGAATGGCCACTCAGAGGACAGAGGGGAAATCAAGACCAAGTTCACCCATTTCAAAGCTATCTTGAAGCTTTAATCTTGTTAGCTAAAGGTGCAATTTCAGGGACCCCCTTCCTGGACCTGTGCACACCAGTGGGCTGCTTTCCTCTTAGGGCTTTCAGGTCCTTGTCTGCCCCTCAATATTCACAAGCCCCAACCACCATGCTCAGCGCAGTGCAGGCTTTATTTTCCAAGCCTGAGATCCCCTAAACCAGCAAAGGAACCCCTGAGTCCCTCACTGTCCTGACAAGACACAGCAGACAGACAGCATGGCTGTGGCCCACAAAGGAACACCTGAGTCCCTCATTGTCCTGACAAGACACAGTGGACAGACAGCATGGCTGTGGCCCACCTTCCTTTTGGGGAGCCCTCTGTGGTCCTCATTCGGGCAGAAGGCCTCTGTCACCACCACCACTAGAGGGCAAGGTCTCCTTTCCCTACTTGCTTATATTCTGAGTTACTCCCCAGGAGACAAGTGGCCTGGGACTGCTGGGACAGGCTTGTGCCCCCTTGTCTCCCTCCCCATAGGCTTTTCAGCTGCCCCTCCCCAGGTGAGTATCTGGCTGTCTTGTCCAGACCCTGTGAGCTTCCTTCTCTTCCTCCCTGTGACTCTACCCACAGCCACAACTCTGGGCGGTGCCCCCCATCCCTCCTCCTGTGCTCTGGCAACCTCTGCGGCCTGCACCCCAGCCCCACCCAGCCTGGATCCTTGAACGTTAATGGTCAGTAAGTGAAAAATGGGAAGTGATAGCAAAATGCCCTCTCATTCTGACCTTCTCACCTCCCTGCTCATGACAGAAAAAGAGTGGGGAAAGAGGGAGAGGAAGAGAGGGAGGGAAGATGGAACATGAGCAGCAGGTAAGAAGAGCTCAGAGAGGATGGAGAAGCGCCTGCGAGAGGGCGCGGCCAGGCAATGACGGAGAGAGGGCAGGACGAGAGCTTGGGTCCAGCTGAGGGCTGTGGGCGGCAAGGCTGCCCGCTGTGCAGGGGAGCAGAGGCTGGCAGGGGCCCTGAGCTAGCTGGGGGTGGCAGCCTTGCAGACAGCCACATGCCTTGAGGGCATCAGATGGCTTGTTCCCCCGGGCAGCTCAGGCTGAGGCGGGGCAGGCTGGCGGGGCAGGCCGCGGGCTGGGCACCGGGTGCTCATCTGCGAGGCTGGAGAATGGGCAGCTGCAGAGGATGGGGGGAGGGAATACCCACCCTGGGGGCTTGTCAGCTGCTGGGGCAGGAAGCTCCTCCGAGTAAAGGTGCCTCCTCCAGAGCCGAGTGTGTGGGGTGGGGGCCATGGGATGGAAAGAAGGAACTGAGCTCCCCTGTGGGGGGGGGGTCCTGCAGCTTCCCAGAGCTTAATTGCACTGGGGGACTCCTCCTTCAGACATCTAAGTGGGGGCCCCTGCACTGGAAGTGGGTTAGGAAAGGAGGTGTCTGTGTGAGCAGCTAGAGGTCTCAGAGACCTGAGGGAAAGGTGTGGGGGTGGGGCTCACTAGGATGTGAGGGGACCAAGGGAGGGCTGGGCCCATAAGCCTCCTCCCACAGGTGGTACTTTGGGAGCTTGACAGAGGCCAGCTGCTGCTGCCCCGTCCCTGCCCAGCTGTCCCTCCAACATGGACAACAACCCTTCCCCCGGGATCCTTCTAAGGCACACCCACCCTACTCTGCCTCCCTGGCTCCAGCACACAGCGCTGCCTTGGGCTGGCTTTCCAGATGTGCCAGCTGTTCTGGGGTAGCCACCCTCTCACCCGCCCCCACTCTCAATTCTCCAGCTTTCCAATGAGGTGTCCAAAAGGGCAGGGTCTGCCCCAAAGTGCTTGCGTGGGTCCTGGACTTAGGGGTAACTCTGTGGAGGGGAAAGGGAGGGAATGCTGGCAAGCGCCGGGGAGCAGAAAGAAGTCTGCGGGGAAGTGGGTCTGGGGACCCTGGGGTGTCATGGGGTCCATCTCCACATTTGTCTGGGAGCTGGGCCTTGGAGGGGGCAGTGGGCTAGGGGATGGGGAGAAAGTGCTCGTGGCTTAATTAGGCGCTGGGACAGTGGCATTACCCATGCTAGCAGTAACTTTTAATTGTATCTCTTGAAATTGGTAAAATGGTGAGTCGGGCTGGGGAGGCATTGATTAATACCTGAGAAGAGAAACAACAGAGACGGTGAGAAGAGGGACAAGCTGGGCAAGGAGTCACTCACCTGGGCGACCAGGCCTCCACTTACCTCCACCACACTCTCCACTGGCTTCTCCCCGAGCGCTGCTTCCCTCTTGGCTTTGAATGCAAAGAGCACAGAGCTCATTCTCTACCAGTCCTGACACAGACCCCTCCAGCCCCACAAGCATCCCTGAGTCAAAGGAGCAGGCTGTGAGATGGGCCAGCTCCACTTCTGACTGACACGAAGCCCCAGGCCCAGTTCTGCTACTTAGCTGTGTGACCTTGGGCAAGATGACACACCTCTCTGGGCCTCCATAGCCCAGAAGATCTTTGCCACTCTCTCTGATGGTTGGTATTACTCAATCTAATTTACCCACAGGAAAAGCCTTCCCAATATGGGCTGTGAAAGTAGGCGTAGGAGGCAGGCACTGGCCTGTGGGAACCATGCTGAGCTGCCTCCTTCCCCTGTAGGCTCCTTGAGTGGGGGTGACACAGAGACTCAGCTGAGTGGGAGGATCTGATGAGCCCAGGCCCTCACAGTACTCCCCATCGTGCTGGCTCTCTGAGAGCCCACATTAGCCTTGTAATTACTGCTGGGGCCTTCTGGCTGGCCTGGCATAGCAGCAGGGACCCTGCGGGCCCCAGTGGACAGCTGTATGATGCTTTTTAGCTAAATGATCCCCAGCTTCCACCCTCACCCCTGGCAGGGGCCCCTCTGATTTCTCAGCCCTCCATGGGGGTGCCAGTTCCCCTTACTGGCTCAGCCCTCTGCTTTCTGTGGCACAAGAAGGAGGTGTCCCACTGCTTAGGAATGAGAAACACTTCCCTGCAGACGTGCTTCAGGATGTGCACTGAGGCCTAGCCAGAGCTGCCGCTTTCAAAAGAGAGGCAGGTGGAGATGTGGGTGCAGTCTGGGGAGGCAGGGAGTAAGTATCCCTGAAGACTGGCTCTGGGGTTCAGACAGCTATGTAAACAAGTTGTTTACTCATGTCCTGTGACTACAGAAAGTAAGGGGGGGCAACTGAAATCGGGTAGGGTGGAGAGTTATGCACGCACAATGGCAGGCCAGTCCCATATTCAAAAGATTCTATCATAGTGAGAATCTCCTCATAGCATAAAGAGCACAAAGAGCCCCATGTCTTGCTTGGAAAATGAATCTCATATCTTCGCTAGCATGGTTGGGCCCTGTCCCAGGTCAGCACAATGGCCAACCACTGAGGATAACAGCCACATGGAGCTCACTCTGGCTCTTTAGCGCCCCGCACAGGGCGGCAGGCCCTCAGTAAGTGCTGAGAGTGAGTAAGTGACCAGGTGAATTGTAACGTCAGCAGTTCTGGCTGGTTTGCTGGGACCGTTTTGGGATGGGATTTAATTCTCATGCCTTCTCTTCTAATTCTCTTTACTTGGAGCTGGGGGAGGGGACGGTGGTAAGGTTTCCTGTACTCACTACAGGTGGAGCAGGAGATGGAAGGTAGGGGGATGTCACGGGCAGTGAACAATGCAACTTGAAGAAACCATGAGAGAAACTGAGTTTGGGTTTTGGAGTGGGCTGACCAGGGCCTGGGATTAGAGAGATAGCTTGATTCTTATAGCTTGTTAGCGAAAGAATGGTGTGGGGCAGAGCAAGATTTCCAGGCCCTTCTGGGCACCCTGCCTTCTTACTGGGCTCCTGGCTGTGGAGTTTTTCTCATGGGGTTTCCCTTGATCACCCCCAATCATCCTTATAAACCAGGACAGTGTTCAGATAGCCTGGCTGCAGGGGGCGGAGGGTCTCAGCTCTGGGGCCAGGACGTCAGGACTCCTGCCTGACTCCTGCAGGGCAGTGACATTCCACATGGACTCTGAAACCCTGGTATAGTTTGCAAAATGGACGAACACATTTCTCTCTCACCTGCCTCCTCATGCCCACTCCTAAAGCCCGTGAGATTAAAGAAAGCAAGGCCAGCATTCCTCAGCAGAAATAAATGGCCATAGGAAAAGGCACCTCTCCCACCCAAACTCCCTGTGATCAGCCCAGGCCATGAGCAGCTTCAGAGGGTCCAGACTCCCGGGGCAGAGCCGAGGCTCACCTGTAGGTGATCCTTGCTTTGACTGCGGGTCCACCTGGGCTCCTCCGGGCTTGAAGGAGAGTGTCTTTGTTCCCTGCTGTTTCTCCAGCTCCCCTAAGGAGTGGAGAAGTCCATGAAAGAGAAGCCCCTAACTCTGACAGCCCTGACTGTGCACAGGTAAGGGAAGAAAGGAGGAACAAGCAGGAAGGGGAGGAGGGCCCCCAATATATGTTATGAAACAGGGACCTTGGGGGGCTGGCACACAGCAAGTTAAATACCCCTGAGCTGCAGTTTGTTCATCTGTGCATGGGGATAGTAAGACCTGCTCAGATGTCAGAGAGGCCGCAGGAGAGGCTGGTATCAGGGAGGCTGACTGTCTGGGTTTGAATCCTTGTTCAACACTCTGAGCTGTGTGGCTTTAGGTGACTCCCTCAACCGCACTGGGGCCTCACTGGACGGGACAGGGATGCCCGCTTCAGGATTACGCAAGGAAGTATGTGTAAAGCACTCAGAACAAGGCCTGGATGTGGCAATGCTTAGTAAATGTTAGCTTCTATTACAAAGCATTCAGCAGGGCTGGACTTGGTGAGAATTGGCGACATCCTGTTCGTCCACCCTGCCCTGGCAGGCCTGGGCCCTCCCCAGCCAGCTGGACCTCTGCAGGGTGCTCAGAGCTCTCCCATGCTGAGAATTCCACATGCTGAGGATCTGTTGTGCCGCACACCCACACGGCCAGGACATCTGTCTTGGTACTAAACTTTAATTCCTCTCCCTGGACTGGAAACCTGTTCCTTCTTGTTCTGCTCTCAGTGGTGCTTCAGAACTGCCAGTTTCCATCCTTGGAGACTTGACAGTCATTATCAAATCTCCTCTGACTTCGCTCTTCCAGGCGACATAATTCAAGTTCCTTTTATTAAAGCTACTCTCTTGGGTTCCATTTTCTGTCTTTCTGGTTGTCTAGAATCCAGGGACACTGAACTGCAACCTCCAAACCGGAACAGTTTGTCCTGATTGCCTGAATCGCACCATCAATCAATACCAAATGTTTTAACTGAACTGAGAGTTGCTTTTCTCCCCCCAGAGGGGCTCTCTTGGCTTTGGAGAAATTAGCACCATAATCACAAATAAGGAGTCCAGAGAACCTGGGTGCAAATCTGTTTTTATCACTGACTGCATGAACCTGGACAACTTCCTTAAGCTCTGTTAGCCTCAATTTCCCTATTTGTAAACTGAGGAAAATAATACCCACTTATGGAAAATTGTGAGAATTAAATAATACAGGTTCAGCAATCAGCCCAGTGCCTGGCATATAATAAGTGCCCAGTAAAGGGTAGCTGTGTCTGTTTTTCTTTTTTTCCTGACTTCTTCCCCTGCCTTCTCCCTGGCCAACCTTTTATCTGTACTCAGCTGTCCCCTTCTTTTCGCTCCATCTGAAGACTAAGAGCCAAACTCAAGCCTTCCTCCCTGCTCCCACTCCATCTCGCCACCTCTCAACATAACAGATTCTGACAATATCGACTCCTCTGTCACTTTGGGAAGGATGTACGTGCTGCTCCTGGGGCTGGCAGGGAGGCACCTTGGCCAGTAGGACTGTCGGCAGCTGGTGTGCTGCAGCTGCCCAGGGCACTGCAGGCCTCCTGGGACATTCTGACAATGAGACAAGTAAAGCCATTTCAAGTTGCATCCTTGAGAATGTTCCAGAACAACAGCAAAGGTGGCCTCTCTGGGCATCCAGTTCAGCTCTTAAAGAGAGTCTGTTATACCACCGAACTCAAATAAACCAACAAATTGGGAAAGGAAATTTACACACCCCACCAAGTAGTTATCTATAATCCTGTCTGCTGCATTTCTATTTCACCCTGATTTAGACTGTTTTCTTAGGAAATTATAAACAGAACCTCTTCTCTCTCAGAAGTTCCTGAACCTTGGAGTCAGTCTTAAACGCAAATGATGGCTCCTCCACCATACAGGCCACCTGGACACACTGCTCACCTTCTCTGAGCCTCGTCTATAGGGTGGGGACAAACATCTTCCTTGCAGCATCACTATGGGAATTGGCAGACTATAAATAAACTGCCTAGCACCTAGTATATGCTTAAAAATGATGATTAAGAAGTGCCACCCTGTCATATTGGCCCCCTGCTCAAATATCTCACTGCCTTTCCTACTGCTTAATGGTTTATATTGATTTAGGAACACTTTCCAAGTCTGGCCATATAAGGCAGACCTGAAGGCTACTTTCATTTTCTGTTTTAGTTTCTGAATCCATTCTTATTTAATTTTCCCTTAAATCTGCCTGAAACCACTGCAATCCTTCAACAGTAAAAGCTTGCAGATGAGTACGGGTTGAAGACCATTGCTGCTCTTCTGTTAACCTAAACCACAGCTGCACCTGGACACACGGAGAAGCCCAGGTATTCTCTAACATGCCTGAACTGGAACAATCTAGCATTTAGGTGTTCCTTAGTGGAACAGAAAGACAACTCCAAGATGCAGAATAGGGAGAAAACTGGCTTGGACTCTACAAAAGGACAATGTTATGAAGAACAAAGCAGAGGGACTATTCTAAGCTAAAAGAGATCAAAGAAGTGAAACTAACCAGATGAGATATCTGAACCTGGGCTATATCTGGGGGAAAGGGTACAAGGGAGAGTTTGGTGGGGAGAAAAGCCCCTCAGCTCCTGCACCTCTTTGGTCTGCATCCCTGCCTATGGTCAGCTGGCCTTGTTGTCCTGGTCAGACACAGCAGGGTTCTCTGTTTCAGGTGCCCACCCGCAGCCCCCTGTGTCTGGTGAGATGTATAAACACGTGGTGTGCTCCAGCATGCCCTGCTTTCATGGTAAGGACATGAGAAGGGATGGACTCACACCAGGCATGTGTGACCGACAGCCCAGGATGGTGCAGAGGGGCCAGGAGAGGGGGAGGGGCCAGAGTGAAGCAAAGGCAGAACTCCCAGCGTCCGAGGCCTGTCCATCTGCAAGCTGCCCCTGCCCCTTGCAGACTGGAAACTGTCCACGTACCCTACCCACTACCTGGGAGAGTCCAGGAGCCCTGTGTCCTTACACTCTATCCGGATCTGCTCCAGCTCCGTCACCTCGGCAATGGACTCCTTCAGGTCCTCCACAAACTTCTGCATCTCATCTGAGCCCAGGGCGCAGAAATGCAGCACCTGCTTCTTCTCAGAGCCCGAGAGTGGGGTCACCAGTGTGATGCCATGAGAATAATCTGGAAGCCGGATCCCAGCCCCGGTGGGTTGTGAGCAGCAGCAGCCCAGGGGATGGGCCAGCCCGGCAAGGGGAGAGGACAGGGTCTGTGGGGTGCTTGTTCCACCCATTCTACAGCCCAGAGCTTCTCCCTCTTCCCCAGCACCGTCCGCCGCACCCCGGGTCACTCACTCACTCTCAAAGACTTACACTCATTCTCAAAGAGGTGGAACTGCATGCCCAGAAGGCCGACGGACTTGCAGAAGGTGTAGGTAGAGGAGCTCTTCTTCTTCGGGCAGAGTTTGAGAATCTGTCCAAGGGAGACAGAGCGACATAAACTGATGGGTGTACGTGCATGTAACATGTGTGTGCACATGTGATGCAGGAACACCCAAGGAGATTTATGAACACGTGAGAAAATACAAAGATACATATATACACACATGCTCTTAAATACATTCACACACACACATAGATCTACACGTACAGATACACACATACACACACTATATCAAAATATGTTTCCTCACTGCATAAAACCCTCCAGGGATTCTTCTGTCTGCACATAGAAGCCAATTCACACCCCTCGCCCTGGCCTATAAGCCACACCTGATGTTGCTCCTGCCTCACTCTGGCTTTGTGCTACAGCCATATTGTCTTCCTTCCTGTAGGTTAAGAAAGGCACCCTTGGCCCCACCACAGGCCCTTTGTATATGCTGCATCTGCCCTGCAAAGCTCCCTGAAACTTTCTGTACAGCTGGATTCCTCTCATTACTGGGGTCTTAATGCAAATGCATCCCCTTAGAGATGCCTTCCTGGGCCACCCTGTCTAAAAGACAAAAAAAAAAAACAAAAAAAAAACCCAAACCTCCCCTTCACCCTAATCATTCTCTAGCACCCTGTTTTACTATCTTCAAAGCACTGTTCTGATCTATTATCTCATTTATTTGTTTGCTTAATTGTTTTCTATCTCCACTACTATATGAAACTCATCTTAATAAAGTCAGCCAGTTGCTCAAAAACAAATATTTATTCAGCACCTTCTGTGACCCAGACTCTGGAACACAGGAGAACATAAGATGGAGCCCTGCCCTCAGAGGCTTATGCCACAGTGAGGGAAGACAGCCAAGGTGGAGATCAGTTGATCAATCAGTGGAGCATACCAGCGAAAAACAAAATGAAGGAAGGGATAAATAAGGTAATTTCAGAATCTGCTAAGTGTTCTGAAGAAAAAGGAATAGAGTAAGGAAGAGAAAGTGGCTGGGCAGACCTCCTGCTAGGTGGGCAGGAGAGGGGACATTTGATTTGATTCCTAAGTGATTTGATTCCGCGCCAGTTCTGCTGGAGCTTTTCAAGCAGGAGCAGCAAAGGCAGAGGCCAGACCTGAGGGAGGCAGCTTGCCGGCCTGAGCAGGGTGCAGGGAGGCAGTTGGGGGAACCTGGGCATAGGAGTGGGGGTAAGCTCAGGGCAAGGTGCCTATGTGGCTTGGTGCCTGTTCTAGAAAGACCTCTCCATTGCTTCTTTTGCTGCTGCTCGGTGGAAGGTGGACTTCAGGGGCAGGGAGACCTGTGTGAAGGCTGCTGTCATAAGCTAGGCTTGTCCCTGGTGGTGGGACTAAAACGTAGTGGGACAGCCGTCATTAGGCTTGAGATCCTTCTAGAGCAGTGGTTCTCAACCTTCCTAAAGCTGCAGCCCTTTAATACAGTTCCTGTGGGTTGCCACCCCCAGGTTGAGAACCGCTGTCCTAGAGGGAGTGCCCTTGTAGCTCACAGAGAAGGAAAGACAATTCTTGGTCACATCCTGCTCTGCACTGCTTCCCAGCCCTTAGCACAATGCCTGGCGCAGTCGACATTGATTAAACATCTGCTGAGTGGATACCTGTTTTTTTAAAGAGCAAAGAATGGGGAGCCCACGATGTGTGTGTGCGTGTGCATGCACACACACGTGCACACACACCAGCCCCTCCAAGCCTGAGCAGAGCCTGCTTCACTCAGGTCCCCCAGGCGGCGGGGATGCCAAACGCTGCAGGGCTCCCCCGCCTGCCCCGGCTACAGGTTTCTCATAACGCAGAAAAGCAGACGGTCTGGGATCTGGTTCATTTCCACCTTGATTGCATAACCGTGAACAGATCATTTAGCATCTCGTCTCATGACTTGTAAAATAGGAATTATCATCTCTGCCCAGCTTCCTCACACCCACGCCGCGAAGGCGCTAGAAACAGCGTAGTACGTCAGTCATCAGTCAGTTCTACGCAGGGACGTCCTCCCGGCCCCTTCGGGGTCCCAGGGCGGGGGCTGCTCACCACCAGCAGGTCGTTGAAGAGGAACACCTCCCGCTGGTGCGCGGCCTGCTTCTGCGGCTTGCTCAGGTCCGTCACCTCAAAGAGCCGGCTGCAGCAGACCAGGCGGCGGTGGGGCACCGACAGCACCTGGACCCAAGGACGGCACTCAGCGCTCAGCGGGAGGAACCCGAGACTATGCGTACCCCCCCCCACCCCGGCCCCACAGTACCCCTTTTCCAGAAGATGAGATGGAGGCCCAGAAGAGGGGAGGATGCTCTAGTTTTACTGCAGGGCCTGAACTTGACCCTAAACCTCCTCTCTCCTCATGCAGGAGAGGGGGAACTGGAATCTTATTTGCATCTCTTATATTTACACTACAATGTGCCCCTGCTGACATATTAATGTAGTGACCTGCAGAGAATGCTCACTTTAAAAATCATTGCATGCTTAGAACATGGGTCACAACTAATGGAGCCTGCGACATGGGTCACAACTAATGGAGCTTTGGGCACCTTAATGGTCTGAGATGCCATAGCCTAGAGCCTACATGAGCCCCTTTCTGACCTCTTATGCGTCAGGACCATAACGTATACGTATGCACCCCATCCTAGGGAAGGCATCCTAACCTCCCCGTCTGCCCATCCAGATGCTTCAACCCTGGACCACTAGGAAGTCCTTCTTGACATCTCACCTCAGTTTCTCCTGCTGTAGGAGGCAGTGAGGAAATTAGGCAAAGGAAAAAAGAAGATGCAGTGCCTGGCACATGGTAGACGCTCAATAACTATTATGTGAATGAACAGCAAGAAAGTTTCAAAGCCTTTTGAAAGGTAAGCAGGAGAAAGGGAGGAGAAGCCAGGAAGAGAGAAAAGAAAGAGATGGGAGATGGGTGTGGCTTGGCAACTAAAGGAAAAGAAGCCAACTCCTCATGGCAAGTGCTGCTCCGTGGCAAACACTTACTGTCTTCATGCCCACGATGGACTTTTCCACTTTGGTGACGTACGTGACGTGGTCCTCATTGGACTTGAGCTCCTTCTGCTGTATCCTTTCGTAGATGCCTACCACCAGTTCCCTGGGGATGTCAGCGCCATCATCCACACCTACCAATGTGGAATGGGCGGGGGCTGTCAGAGCCCGGAGCCGGAGAGCAAGCCCCTATGGGACTGGGTCTCCCAGAAGTGGCCTTGATTTTGCTACATCCCTGTTCCAAAGCTTCTGTGCTGGTGCCCCTTACCCATAAAATTAAGGGCAACCTCCTTAGCCAGGTACCACAACTACTACAATATGGCTCCCAAACACATCTCCAGCCTCACCCCTTGATGCTCCCTAACTAGGCCTCCAGTCCCTCCTCCCAGGACTCTTTCTTGAGCATCAAATATAGCCTCCATGTTCCTGCTAAGTAGCTTTGCTTCTGTAGTCTTACTGTCTTCCCTGTATCTGTCCCCACCCACCCTCAGCTGCCAAGAGAGCATACTGACAATGTTCTATCTTGTTCTCTGTTGGATCTCCCCCTCCTGAGTCCTCTCTGCCATCCCGTAGGGAGCATAATGCTGAGTGACCGGTCATAGAAGGGGTGGCAGGTCCCTTACTCACTGGGACCTGGGGAAACAGGCAGATCTCCATGGAGATGCAGGTGATGAGACCCTCACCCTATCTCCTACTACACGGTAATGACAAAACTCTGGTGACAAACAAATACTAGGAGGAAATATAATAACATGCAAACAAATTTCTTTTGGAGGTAGAAACAAAGTCAATAAAAAGTCCTCTTTCTACTTTTTCCAACTCTTTCTTTAATGATTACATGCTTCTTTATAAGAGGAAAAAAGCCAAAAATAAAATAAGTGTCCTCAAAGGACTGTTCCTAGCTACTATGGGGACATCATGGTTTCCAAGAGCAACTCTCTGCCTTGCCCCGGCTTCTTCCACATCTGATCTTGTTTCTTAAAGTTGGGCAAATCGGCCACATAGCAGCCTGGGGTGCTGAGACCAAACACATAGCAGCTCCCAGTTCAAGGCAGTGGGTTGCGTGGCTCTGCTCCTCTGCGTACCTGGGAGAAAGGAACTTTTAAAAAAGGCATAAACCCACAAAGACAAAGAGGAAGAAAAGACAATGGCACCCTCGGACCTGGAAAGTGGATGAATGAGTGGACAGATTAGGAAGCCTGAGAAAGCTGAGACCTAAGGCAGCAGAGACACCAGGAGCCACTGGCACACCACAAAACCACCAAAGGACCCAGAACTGGCAGCAAAAGCAATCTCTGAAAGTGGAGGTGAAGGTGGGCTAGGAATAGGAAAATAGGTTTAAACTCAGTATAAAGATCTTAGATTTTTCTGTCCCCTCTTGGCTCTAGCAGAAGACCAGTATTCTTCTCCTTGAACTCTGGGCTGGGGAACCCCAACACTAGCCAAGGGTGGGCGTATGTGCTGAAAATGGGAATGAAGTTGATGTCTGTATATTGAGACTCCTCAACTCCATTTCTCACAAAGATCTCATAACTCTGCCAGCCAGAATCATACCCTTTGGGCAGCAGATTGGACATTTATCTTCTGGGTAATCAACCAGCACAAAAGGAAATATCTAAAGGTACTGCAGTAGGGATCTCCCAATAAAATGGTCTAAGTAAATCACCCTCCAGGAAAGCCCACCAGTTGGCAACCCCCACCCATGCTCACAGAGTTTTTAATCAGCGTTTTAGTGGTTCACTGTTTTTTTTTTTTTTTTGAGACAGAATCTTGCTCTGTTGCCTCAATTTAGAGTATCGTGGCATCATCATACCTCACTGCAGCCTCTAACTCCTGGCCTCAAGTGATCCTTCTGCCTCAGCCTCCTGAGTAGCTGGTACTACAGGCACACACTACCATATGTGGCTAATTGCTCTTATTTTTTTGTAGCGACAAGGTCTCCTTCTGTTCTCAGGCTGGTCTTAAACTCCTGACCCCAAGTGATCCTTCTGCCTCAGCCTCCCAAAGGGCTAGGATTAGAGGTGTGAGCCACTGTGCCTGGCCTCCCTCTTTATATGAATTGACAACCAGATTTTGTTAACTATATTTGAAAAGTTTCTAACATAAAAGACATATAAATATGGGTAAAAACAGGAAAAGAAACCCAGAAGAGATAGAGGCAAGTAGGAAGAAACTAAAACAAACAAAACCATATTAATATCTTCAAAGAGATAGGAGAAGATATTGCATCCATAAAACAAGAATAAAATACTATAAAAGAGAAACATGTACAGGACAAAAGAGAGCTATTGAAAATGAAAAATATGGCTCGGCGCC